GTGTGTGTGTGTGTGTGTGTGTGTGTGTGTGTGTGTGTGTGTATTGTTGAGGATTGAACCCAGGAAGAATACTGCCTTTGAGCTACTTTGAGCCCCTCTGGTTAAACATGTTAACTAAGATGTGAGATAGTGCCTAGTTTAAATTCCTCAATCCCTCCACCGGGAAGGTTGTGAAATTCTTGATTCCTTGTTCTGTCTTACAAATGTGAATACTTGTAACCTGTAGAATTGTGCTAGTTATGGTCTTAGGTCTTCCACCTAAATAAATCTAACATTAGTGAGTTAATAATTAAAGGACAGATGTCCTCTGTAGTTGAATTCTTAAATATTATGTTATTTTATTACACAGTCATGAATGGTGATGGATATTGCATATAAGAATGGTAAATACAATGCTTAAACTGATATTTCTGAAGAAATGGTAGTTTTTATCTTTGAGGAGTTTAATTTTCTTGTGTTAAGTGTATCAATGAAATAGTCAACTGTTAATATATTTTTTGAAGAAACAAAATAGAACATCCCTATCTTAATTAGGGTTTACTGTTGCTGTGAGGAGACACCATGAGCATGACAACTCATCAAGAGAACATTTAATTGAAAGGGCTCATTTACAGTTTCAGAGGTTCAGTCCGTTATTGTCATGGCAGGGAGCATGGTGGTATGCAGGCAGAGGTGGTGCTGGAGCTGAGACTGCTACATCTTGCAGGCAACAGGAAATCAACTGACTCACTGAGCGGTATCCTGAGTATAAGAAACCCAAGCTCACCTTCATAGTGACACACTTCCTCCAACAAGGCCATACCCACTCCAACAATGTCACACCTCCTAATAGTGCCACTCGCTCTGAGATTGTGGAGGCCAAATACTTCAAACTACCACAAGTAGTTTCCTAGATTGGTGTAACAGAGTACCAGAATGGTATGGCTTAAAACCATAGAAATGTATCTCAGTTGTAGTGGTAATAATTCAAGGTGTCATCAGTAGGAAAGTGCTCTCATAGCTAGATCTAGGGGAACTATCTTCAGTTTTTGGGAAATAGTGTTTATTAGCTTGAGATTGTTAGCACTTCATTTACACGACTTTCTCTTCTGTCTCTTCCTTTGTCCTCCTGCCCTTTTTGTCTCTCCATGTTTGTTTTTGTAAGGACACCAATCAGACTAGATTAGAGGTTCACCTAGTGATCCCAATTTATATTTATTACCTGTTTAAAGCCTCTATTTCCAAACTGGGTCACATTCTGAGGCATTAGAGGTAAGGACTTTAGCATGTAAGTGTTTAGAAGATCCAAATCAATCCATAATAATAGGCTTTGAATTTCTTTAGTCATGTGCTGTCTTGGATTACATCTAAAGACCCTATTTCTAAATAAAATTGCGTTCTGAGGTAAGCTGCTCCCTTGGTGCTGAAAATGGAGTCCCTGAGTCTTATATATGTCAGGTAGGGACTCTACCACTGAGCTACACTCTCAGCCCTCTGAAGTACTGTGGAATAGAACTTCCAGTATATCTGAATGTATCTTTTGGGAGGTGGGGGTGGCCGTGACAGTGGGCTCAGATTAGTTCATAACCTGAATATATGGGTGAGTTACAAGATAATTTATGTGCTGTTTATCCTAGATGACTTTGTGACAAAAGTTGCTAATATTTGCAGATGGATAGAATCATAGAGAAATGGAATATAATGTAATTGGGATATATTTCTGATTTGTTTTTCAAAATCTTGCTTCACTTAAATAAAAGAATTATTAATTGTGCTTCAAAAAGATAAAGTGCTTGATAACTATTATTACATGCAAATTGTGAAAAAACAAAAACTTGCCGGGCGTTGGTGGCGCACGCCTTTAATCCCAGCACTCGGGAGGCGGAGGCAGGCGGATCTCTGTGAGTTCGAGGCCAGCCTGGGCTACCAAGTGAGTTCCAGGAAAGGCGCAAAGCTACACAGAGAAACCCTGTCTCGAAAAACCAAAAAAAAAAAAAAAAAAAAAAAAACTTATTGTTTTCAAAATCCATTTTCCCACACTTGGAGTGGATTTAGTCACTGTTGATTAAAATAAAATGTGTTTGAGAGAGCACCGGGTGTCATATAATCCTAGCACTTGGAAGACTGAGAGAGGATCACAGGTTTGAGGCTAGCCTGGGCTGTATAGAGAGACTGAAAAAACTAGAAGACAACAACAAAAAATAATGAAACGTCAAATGTAGTTTTAAGAGTTATTTTTGGGGAGTGGTTACAGCATGAGGTTGCAGCAGCTATGATACAGTTTTTATTTTAATGGCATGTAGTTTTACCTGTAGTTGATTTGGAGTGGTTCTTAAGAATTGACTGGGGTTCAAAGAGGACGCTGATATTAGAAGGCATAAAGTAGTAAGAACCATTTCAAGATTATTAAGTTGCATGTAGTGTTGTCAATTTTAATAGTTTATCTAGAATATTTGAACAAACTAAACGTAGAAATACAAGGTTTGAGAGCATTTCAGTATAGTTTTTTATTATTCTTTTTCTAGTTGGAGAATGGATATACTTTATTTGACTACGATGTTGGACTGAATGATATAATTCAGCTGCTAGTTCGTCCAGACTCCAGTCTTCCTAGCACATCTAAGCAGAATGATGTTCAGGCTAAACCCTGTTCTAATAATCAGCCTAAAGTAAAGAAAACAGCAAGAGGAGGATCTTCCAGTCAGCCATCTACATCAGCTCGCACTCGTCTTATTGACCCTGGCTTCGGACTATATAAGGTATGTTATCTTTCAGACTTGTTAGTTGTGAGAATACAAATGTCTGTTCTCTTCAGGATACATTGAGTAAGTAAGCATTGATTTTCATTAAGTAAAGATTGCAGCTATTCATATTCTGTCAAAAGTAGTCCTTGAAAATTTACCATGGGGCTGGGGATATAACTTAGCAGGTGAGTGCTCTTCTTACAGCTATGAGACTGGGTTTGAGCCTCAGCACTACTAGGAAAAAAAATTACTATAGTGGAAAAATGTAAACTGTATAATATGTACAGTTTAAAGAATAATAAAACAAACATACCTGTGTATTTCCACGCAGGTGAAGAAGTAGAATGATGCCAGGACACTTTTTAAAGGGTATTGCTTCCCTCCCCCATCTCCCAAGGGAATTACTTACAGTGATTTTTGAGTGCAAGTTTTCTTTTTCTTCTTCACTACTTATATATGCATGTCTGTTTTTCTGTATAGCTGAATCTCTTCATAATGAAGTTCTTTTCCTTGACATTGATGTTTCTTAGTATATAGTTGTAACATTATTGCTTTCTACTTCAACATGCTACCATATGTCTAGTATGTATTTATTAGATGCCTGGGCAGTGTTCCAGCTTCAGTGTTTAACAATGCTGTTTAACCCATATATACCCTGGTACACATATTCTAGAATTTTTTAAAATTCTATTTTTTTTAAAAAGGTGCTGATGATTTACTCAAAGTGTGCTGTCAAGATTTTTAGGTTGTTTCATTGGTTTATTTGTCTATCCCTGGGCCCATGCTATTCTAAGGTCGGT